TAGATCTTGTTTACACTATCTCAACTTCATATAATTCTCGAGTTGATCATGTAATATTTTTAATTAGAAATTCTTGTTAACCTTAGGAATTTCCATCATGAAAAATGTCATTAGATCTTTTTGAGTAAATGGCCCATTCTCTAAGCCCTTACGAGCTACCATAGCAAGCCTTTATTTCATAAAGATTGAATAATTTGGTAAAAAAAACTATGAAGAGCTCCTTCGCATTTCATTTGGGTTTTTAATCTTGTTAGTCCATGTATCGAACGTTGTTGGACTTGGAATAAGTTTATGCTGAATACTGATGGCTTGTTTGGGGGTATAGCGGACTGTATAGGTCTCGACAATATTAAAGAACAAAATAAGTTCAAATATTGTTATTTCAAAGTTTAATCGTGTCCAATACTACATACAAAACGTATCCTCGTGAATTAAAATGCATTGGAAAATCATTACTGTATCTTCTGTCACATTTCAGTTGTTAGGTGCGCAACAGTAGAGGCATGCTTGCCTTAAAATATTGCCTTGTCAAAGTAGCCGAAAATGTCCCAAAATGATGAATTTATCCCAAGTACAGTAGTTGAAACTAGTTCACAGTATTTCAAATGTTATAGAATCCTATGTGCATTTATATTTGACCAATTTCTGTAACTCAAGAAATCCCACTTGTATAGTAGGCATCTCTTGTCAACATGGGTGTAAAAATTTGTAGCAAGTCGGTTAATGCTAAATGTGTAGCCTAGTCATCTGATCCGAGTTCTTACACCTAGTATAAGAGCTACCCCAACTGAGTCATCCACTTGTAGGACTTGAAATATTGCGGATCATGGACCAAAGGTTACATGCAATACAACAGTATCAAAATAAGCCTGGTTCTCAATAAATTTAGGTCTACAGTGGAACATCCAAAGCAACTAGATCTTTGACAACCACAATTAGCCAATTAGGGATAACTGCAAAAAGCAAAAAGCACAGAATTTTGCAATCCACTTCTCCAGCAATTGTGATTTATATTAGGGTGCGTTTGATTGCAAGGGTGGAAAATGGGTGGAAAGAAAATGTTTTACATGGAAAAAATTTGTCTAGAAAATGTTTTGCAGGGAAAATGATTTCAAGTGTGTTTGATTGGTATAATTTTTCACCCGAAAAATTTTTAAATTTTCTATTCGTTTGGCTTTGTTTTACATGAAAATTGTCCATTAAAGTGATATTTTTTCCACAAT